ATATGATATTGGGGTGTCGACTGGTTGTCTCAGTGTTGGGTTATTCTATACTATTGCGCTATGGGCTATGCCGGAAAACGCCACGGGTTGAGTGGCGAGGTGGGTCAGATTATGTTCTAGCAGAGTGGATTATATTTCAAGACCAGCGGATGGTTGGGGAGGATTGCATTTCTTAATTGGGCCTTCGTGATGGATGTCAGTGCAGGGGTTTCTGCCATTGATTCAGTTCCGGTGTTGAGGGACTTTTTGGATGCATTTCTTGTGGTCGGGCATGTTGCCGGGCGAGGTTGTGGATTTCGGTATCGATGTGGTGCCGGGCACCGTATCGTATGGCTCCGACAGGAGTTGTAGTAGTGAAAGGAGCAGCTTCAGGCATCCCTGATGATGAGTTCGTTGGCAGGCCAATGTGGGTGTGTGATCTAACTTGAGTCGGCTTGATTGGCCCCGAATTTGTATTGTTGAGGGATAGGTTGATTCGATCGTTATTGAGCTTGTTAGTGACCTGGGGAGATCTATGAGTTGCTTTTTGTGTTGCGAGACGTTATGATTTGTTGGTTATGGGCACATATGGTGCGGTTTCATTGGGGTTTCATAGTGGAAGTCGAGCCGGAAGAGTAATTGGGAGTTGCTCGGTGAATGACGTACCGGTTATGTTCTATCGGGTTTGCATGGTGTATGTTATTTGTTTCACCGTGGGTTTGGTTCCAGACATCGAATGGTGCGTGGCTGTCGATTTTGAGCATAGTGACTTGAGGTGTTCCATGTGTAGCAGTGTTTGGCTAGGATCGCGCATTGTAGCGATGCTACGTGGAGATATGACCTTTCGGGGTAGATTCATGTGTTCTATTTCTGCGATGTAAGACGGGGTCTCAGCTTTGTGTTGTGATGATACTGATGAGCTTGAGGTACAGCTCTTTCGTTTGGGGTCATTTTCATGATTTGAGTATATTCAGACTGTTTCTTATTGGTGCGCGTATTATGCAAGTTGTGGCTTAGGCCTGTATTGATGTGTCATATCACCAGGGAGGTGTGATGGATTCGAGGTGATCGTGGGGTAATTAAGGAATACGATCGGATTTGATTTCAGCTTGTGGGAAGGATAATATCGAGGTTCGATTCAAAAATTGCTATGGTAATTGCCAGAGGAGAAATGGCCTCATGAATGGTTGATCCGAGAAATGGTTATGGTTTATTGCGTGTTTCATTTATCGTTGGCAGTATATGAAAGTGTTGGAATGAGACTTTAGCTAATAAGAGGTTTTCTATCGGTATTTGGTTGTTGTGGGCAGCTGCTGTGAATGGAAGTTATCGCGGCATGTGTTTGAGTTATGTGGTATATCATACAATTGCACCTGAGGTTGCAGGCATGGGCTATTACAGCTGGTTCGGGACTATTCAGAGTGTAGGTGTGAGGTTTTGATCGTAGTGATGGTTTCAGAAGTGAAAGTGTGGTTCTATGGCTTATGGGCTAGGATGGATTGTGAAATTTCAGCTATATTGTGTTATCGGACCTATGTGAGATAGTGTGACGTGGGATCACCCCCGGGTATATGCATGGTAAGGTTATTCAGCGTTTGGTTGGCTTTTAGAACAACTCTGGGTACATTCGAGGACGAACGTGTGTTTAAGTGGGGGAGGATGTAACGACCCGACCGGTCGTTTGAGTTTTTGCACTTTGATCGCCAGTTCTCGGGCATGACTTGCCCCGTGTAATGTATTATGACTGATGTAGACCGTTGGTTTTGGTTTTTCAGGAAAATCGGAAAGAATTTGAAAGAACAGCCTCAGTTAAAAGCTTTGAATTTGAAAGGTTTGACCAAGAGTTGACTTATTTGTATATGAGCTCGGATCGGAGTTTTTATGATTTGGTTAGCTTCGTTAGGTGATTTGTGACTTAGGAGCGTGATCGGAAGTGATTTTGGAGGTCCGGTGTAGAATTAGGCTTGAATTGGCGAAGTTAGTATTTTGGCGAATTCCGGTTGATAGGTGAGATTTTGATCCGAGGGTCGGAATGGAATTCCGAGAGTTGCTGTAGCTTCGTTATGTGATTTGGGATGTGTGCGCAAAATTTCAGATCATTCGAAGGTGTTTTGGTTGGATTTTTGATCAAATGCGTGTTTCGGATGTTTTAGAAGAACTTAAGCTTGAATCCGATGTAATTTGATGGTTTTGGTGTTGTTTGAGGTGTTTTGATGATTGGAGCAAGTTTGAATGATGTTTTAGGATGCGTTGATGCTTTTGGTTGAGGTCCTGAGGGCCTCGGGGTGGTTTCGGATGGTCAATCGGACCATTTTTGGAGTTTGGAAGTTGCAGAAATTGAAGGTTCAGTGTTGCAGAGATTTATCTCTTCGCGTTCGCGAGAGGAGAGGAGCGTTCGCGTAGAAGAAATTTGGAAGGCAGGAATTTAAGCCTTCGCGTTCGCGCTTGAGGGCTCGCGTTCGCGAAAGGCTGGGAGCTGATGCTTCGCGTTCGCAGGAGGTTGTTCGTGTTCGCGTATAAGGATTTAAGTCCAGGAGCAGTTGTTCTTCGCGTTCGCGTATGGGGGACCGCATTCGCGTAGGTATATAAGGCTAGTGCATCGCGTTCGCGAGTGTTCATACGCGTTCGCATAAGAGGAATTTTGGTCAATGGAATTTTTGTGCTTCGCGAACGCGAGGCTTTGACTGTGTTCGCGAAGAAGGATTTTTAAGTGCTGGGCAGAATCTTTTATAAAGGCTATTCCGCAATTTTTGAGGTTAAGAATCTCCATTGTTGAGCGATGTTGGAGCTTGGGAGAGCAAATTGAAGAGGGATTCAAGGGGAATCACCTGGAGGTAATATTTTTGAACTCAATACTCGTTTTTATTGCGAAATCCACCTTGAAATTCATGGAAACTTAGCAAAAAAGGGGAAGAACTAGGGCTTGGATTTTTTTAAATTTTAATTTGGGTTTTGATGGGTCATTTGAGCTCGGATTTGGGGGTTCTTGATATGTATAGACTCGTGGCGAGATAAGGAACCCATTGATGTAAAAATTTCTGAGTTTCAAGAAGTGGGCCTGGGGCTCGGGTTTTGGTAATTTCGGGATTTGTGCCCGTTATTGATTGTTTTCGATTGGGTTATGTTCCCTTAGCCTATTGTGACGTATTCGTTGTGGTTTTGGTCAGATTCGACGCGCGAGGAGGCCGATTTGCAAGGCAAGGGCATAGCGAGCTAGAGATTTTTGCCGGTTCGAGGTGAGTAATGATTGTAAATGATATTTTGAGGGTTTGAAACCTCGTAATTGCACATCGTAGAGCTATATTGAGGTGACTTGCACGCCGGATAGCGAGCGTGGGGTAGAGCACCATTGGGGATTGTGACTTAGTCCGTCCCGATTGATGAATTTACTGCGTATTTGACTGAAACCTATTTGATATTATCATAATTTGGGCTGATTGCCATATTTGGGCTTCGTGCCAGCTATTTGAACTCCTTCGGGGATTGTTGTTGATAATTCCTCACTGTTTTAATTATATACTCGAACTCAGTCACGTATTTCCCACTGTTTTAAGACTCAGCCAAGTTTATTTTACTTTAACACTTGGAATGATATTTCTAACAATTTTTGGGCTGAGCATCATGTTTTACTGTTGCCCTAGTGGCTTATGTGATTTTGACTGAGTGAGGCCGAGGGCCTGTATTGTGAGGATACTTTTGGATCGGGCTGCGCGCCGCAGCAGTGTTATACTGATACTGATATGAGGCCGAGGGCCTAGACTTGATGCCACGAGATAGCTTGATATTGCGCTTGGGCCGTAAGGGGCCCCTCCCGGAGTCTGCACACCCCCCAGTGAGCGCCGTCGACGATAAACGGATCGGGCTGCACGCCGCAGCGGTATGTGGAGCGGGCTACACGTCGCAGCGGTACTAGTACTGATTTGTGTGTTTACTTTATTTCATTTGTCTGCCACTACCTGTTGTTTGTGCTACTTCATGTGATATCTACCGGATTGCCTGACATTATCTGTTAATTGAGTGTGATGCCCGAGGGGCGGACTTCTGTGCTTATCTGCACTACTTGTTTTGCATTCATTTGCATAACAGTTGAAAAAGACATTTTCTAAAGAGGTTTTAAACTGAGCTAAGATATTTCTAAAGATTTAACAGCTTCACTGCTTTTTCTCAGAGGGTTTACACTGCTCCTATATAGCATGATGGTTTGTTTTACGTGATTTCTTACTGCTCAGTTGTTATTTACCCTTATTACTCACTGAGTTGGAGTACTCACTTTACTCCCTGCACCTCGTGTGCAGATGCAGGTATTTATCTACCCGTTAGCAGGTTTGCCTGAACAGAGGCAGAGTTATAGGAGTCAGCGAGGTGACTGCCAGCGTTCGCAACACCGTTTTTCACTCTTTGTTCATTATTCCGGCTTTGTATATTCTAGGCCTTGTAGTGGTGTTCATATTTTAATAGTTGCTCGTGACTTGTGACACCCCGGTTTGGGCTGTGTCAGGAGGGTTTTCCCTTATTATATTCGCTATTTCCGCACTTTATGGTTATTAAATCATGTTTTAGAACTGTTTATGTTAAGTAACTGCTTAACAAAAAAGGGGGAGTTTTGCGATGGTTTGGCTGGCCTTGTCTTCACGAAAGGCGCCATCACGACCGGGTTTGGGAATTGGGTCGTGACATAAAATAACTTACCTGGCTGTGAACTTGAAACTACATCGGTAACAGGTTCCGTATTATTAGAAACATGAACATGTATTGTCATGATAGGCTGTAATATGTTAAAAAGAATATTATTGGACATTAGTCGAATATAGAAGTAAAGGCAGCAAAATGATAAGGAAAAAATAAAATATGTTCAGAAGTAATGAGAAACAAATAAAGTTACAAAGAAAAAATTACAAAAAATTAAAAAATAAAAGTAGTACAAAGTAGAAATTAACCATTTTGGCACGGTGATGGATAAACATAAGTCATGTGAAAAAGTGATTGAAATAAGCAAAGTAGTTTTGAAGACTAGTTGAAGATCACAACCAATCATCATCCTCGTGTTCATTATATTCTTCTTCGGAAAGATATTCTTCCTCAGAAAAGTATTCTTCATCTGTTGCGGAATTATTAAAGTCATCCCCATTTTCATGATCAGATTCTTCCCCAACTTCTAAATCTACTTCTTCTTCATTATTAATAGAAGGTGCTTCAACACTCACTCCATCAATATCTTCTCTTTGTATTACTATGACATCATTGTTTGATTTTGCTTGAAGGCTTGCTTGTTCCCTTTCAACCAAGTCAATTAATTGATATGGCTCCGCTTCATCTTCTTGTTCGGGAATATCATACAAATTTCGTGGTCTTACCCTTACCACAGCATGCCATTTCTCACTTTGACCATGTTTAACATAATACACAGCTTGAGCCTGTGAGCCTATAATGTGTGGATCATTTGTGTAACGGAGTCGTGTCACATCTACACGTATGAATCCATATTCATCCCTTTCGTAACCTCTACTTTGACTTCGACCTTGGGGAGGAACTTCAAACCAGTCACACTTGAATAATATGACTGAATAACCCATATATTGGATCTCTAAAATCTCTCTTATCTTTCCATAATAATCAACATTTTCTGTATGCTCATCACTCTTTACAACTACACCACTATTTTGGGTTTTCAAATAAAATTCAGATTCCATTGTTCGAAACCTAAATCCATTTAAGATATATCCTTTATGGCAATAAACACGATTATCTTGAAGTCTTGCCAAAGCTAACAATTCATCTGTAACTCGACCATCGTCATTCTCTCTTAACTGGACCACCTATAATATTTTGTGTGCAAAGTCAAAAACTTTAATACTCCTTATGAAAGTAAAATTAAAAAATAATCATTAGTAAAGATAAACTAGCCTCAAATGATATAGTTTACCTTTTCTTCAAACCACAAAGGAAATTCTTCTTTGTGTCTCTTGGCTACATTTCTATTATTTTCCTTTGCCAATATTTCTAAATGTTCTCTATGGATGGGAAGATTTAGAAAAAAAATAAAGAATATTACATCATATTCGTTAAAGTATTCATAAAAAGAAAAGGATGTAACTAAATGAAAAGTTATCTTACTCAATCCAAGGTCTGACCTCCTCACAATTTTGGAGGATATAAAAATGAGCTTGGTTGATTACAAGATTACTCAAGCTTTTCCAATCACCCCCTCTAATGACTTACCATGACAGTTAAATATGGACAAGCCATTTGGATTTATGTTGAAAGAATCAAAATTTCTATCCGGACAATTTTGCTTTGTCCATATCAGTCAAATATTTAGAGCAAAATAACATGCACTCCTCCGCAAGATAGCCCTCAACAATTGATCCTTCAGGGCAAGCTTGGTTGCGTACATAACCTTTTAACGTGCGTAAATATCTATTAAGTAAAGACACATTAGTTTTGTAACAAATTTCTTCTGAAAGAATAATTCAAATAAGTAAAAATCTAATCTTTCAATGTAATACATCCATCGATATTGAACAGGACCACCCACTTTTGCCTCATTTGCCAAATGAATTGCCAAATAAATCATAACATCAAAGAACGTTGGTAGGAACACACGTTCTAATTTACAAATTATCTTCCGTATACTTTTATCTAGTTTCTCTAACCTTTCCACATGCAACTCTTTAGCGTACAAATCACTGAAGAATAATGACAATTCAATTAAGGGATCATATGCATCCTTTGGCAAAATTCCTTTGATGATAAGAGGAACAATACGCTGAAAAAGGACATGGTGGTCATGACTTTTAAGTCCAAATATTCTAGCTTCATTAACATTGACACAACGACCAATGTTAGAAGCATAAGCATCAGGAAACTTGACTTCTTTGACGAGTTGACAAAATTGTATCTTCTCATCTTTAGACATTGTATAGCTTGCTGGAGGTAGTATGTACTTATCCCCACTTTTTATTGGATGAAGGGGCTTTTTGATTTTCATCTCTTGTATGTCCAATCGAGATTTCAATGTGTCCTTTGTTTTCCCTTCAATATCCAACAGAGTTCCTATCACACTTTCACTAATGTTCTTTTCAATATGCATCACATCCAGATTATGTCTCAACAATAAAGTCCTCCAATATGGGAGTTCAAAGAATATATTTTTCTTCTTCCAATTGTCACATCTTTCAACATTTCTTTTTCTTTTTCTTGTGTTGCCACCAACTAATCCTTGTGAAGATGTATTAAGTTGTGCAAGAACATCATCTCCACTCAAAGCTTGTGGTGCAAGTCTTTCTTCCTTTGTATTATCAAAGGAACTTTTATTCCGACGATAAGGATGATTTATCTTCAAGAACCTACGATGACCCATATAGCAATGTTTTCGACCATGTTTCAAGTATAGGGAACAAGTATGTACATGGCAAACTGGACAAGCTAATTTACCTTTGGTGCTCCAACCAGATAACATACCATAAGCTGGAAAGTCATTAATCGTCCACAACAAAGCAGCACGTAAGTGAAAATTTTGTTTCTTAAAAGCATCATAAGTCTCGATTCCACTCTCCCATAAGGTTTTTAAATCATCAATCAAGGGTTGGAGGTATACGTCAATATTCATACCAGGACTTTTTGGTCCAGGAATAAGTAAGGATAACAAAATATTAGATTGTTTCATGCATATCCATGGGGGGAGATTATATGGAATTAAAACTACTGGCCACATGCTATAGGCATTACTCATCGAACCAAAAGGATTAAAACCATCTGAAGCAAGCCCAAATCTTACATTACGTGGATCTGAAGCAAAACTTGAATGTTTTTCATCAAAAGTTTTCCATGCCAATACTTGAATGTTTTTCATCAAAAGTTTTCCATGCCAATGCGTCAGCTGGATGCCTTAATACTCCATCATCAACTCTCTTATTTTTATGCCATGTCATATCTTCCGCGGTTTGTTTTGTCATAAATAATCGTTTTAATCGTGGTATCAAAGGAAAGTATCTAAGAATCTTTCTAGGAATTCTTTTATTTCTCTTATTCAATTTTCTTAAAGCAACTTCATCATCAATATCTTCTCCTTTTCTTACTATCCATCTTTTTTCACTACATCTAGGGCATTGCTCAAGATCAGCATATTCCTTTCTATATAAAATGCAATTATTAACACATGCGTTTATCTTCACATAATCTAGACCCAAATCTTTTATGATCTTTTGAACTTCATAGATAGAATTAGGGAGCACATTTCCTTTGGGAAGAGCGTCACTCAATAATTTTAACAAAGAGTCAAAAGAAGTATTACTCCAGCCATGTAGGCACTTCATCTGAAAAAGACGCATTACAAATGATAGTTTGGAGAACTTTTCACAATCTGGATATAACTTTTGCTCTGCATCCTTTAATAACCTATAAAAACTTTTAGCTTCTGTATTTGGCTCTTCGTACCTAGGCTCAGTGGTCTCATCAAACTCACGACTATTAGAGGGAATACCACGATACATGTCATGCAACATTTCAAAAGTGCGAGCATCATCATTCCCTAAATTTGAATCTGTATTGGAATTTGTTTCATCATTTGAAGATGAATCCGACTCACCATGATAAATCCACCTATCATAGGTCGGATCTATTCCCCACCTAAGTAAGTCTGTCTTAACCTCATCGCGTGATTTTCTAAGCATATTATTACATTTAATGCACGGACATTGGATTCTTACACCAACCTCAGGATTAGAAAATGCAAAGTTCAAAAAATATTCCACACCATTCAAGTATTCTGGTAATGTCCTATTCTTAATAAGTAGCCAATTCTTATCCATCATATACTTACCTACAATAAAATATAAAATAATAACTGTAAAACTATATAATTAAAATTGTAAAATATTATAATTAACTTTTTCTCATAAGTTCACAACTACATAAAGCCGAAAATTCACAGGCTAATGATCGACTTTGGATGCAGTTAAATATTCAATATAACAATATAACTGGAACTTAAAAAGAGTGACGAATTATGTTGATAGACAGATAATACCAAGAATTCCAGTATGTGATATGCAACATATACTTGTCAGTACTAATTAGTTCTAAGGACCAATAAGTAGGTGCATTCTATTAACTCCAGAATCGGGTTTTCCTCCAAGTATCAGATAGTCACACTTTCATCAGCTCTAGTATTACAAGTTTTGACTTAATTATCTAAAATAGAAGTTAGATAAAGTCTCTATATTAGAAAATAGTTAAAATAAAAACATATAATTTGAACTAATAGCCACTGAAGCAAAGGAAGATGAGTAGCATCTTGAAAAGTAACAACAAAAAAGATAGCAAGTGAAAAAAAAGAAAAGAAACTGAAGTTCCAAAAATTAAACAATGCATCTGCTACTACTAAAAGTAACGGAACTGTACATTCGATCTTATGAAACTGAAGTTCCAAAAATTAAACAATACATTCTCTCCGTTTTTGTTTACTTAATTGAACCTTCTGTGGATTCGATCTTATGATGTTTTTCTACCCATTTTGTTTCTTCCCTACATTTCCTTGTGACCTCTATCTCTTGGCCCTGATACTCCTATAATCTGAGATGCAGTTCATATGTCAACTTTAACCTCTTTTACAACTTTGGTGAATCTGGTGCATTATTCCATATCTTGATCTATTTTCTGCACTTAGAGCTCTTATAAATGCTGATGGTCCAGCAATGCATAATGCAGCAGCTGGGAAGGATACTGTTAAGTATGCTGATATGCAACAAATTGAAGGATTTGATACTTTGCACAATGTGACTGGTACAGGTGATAATAAAGAGCTTCATACATCTGCCAAAGTTGAATTAGCTGTACAAGCAGATCGTCTAGATGCTGCTATTGATATTGGATCAGATGTTCCAGGTGTTAGGCAAACTTCTAATGACCAAGCAAAAGCTAAGGATCAACAAGTTACTAAATTATCTTCTAAAGCTACTTATGCTAACAGGGAAGGACAGGAAATTCACAAGGGAGATCTTGTTAAAGGAGATCGGGGATCTACTGTATGTTCAAATTAATGGGCTGCAGTTACATTGAAGATAGATCGAGCTGCTGTAGGGTTGTGAAACCTACTGATGAACATGCTGATTTAATTGAAAATGCATCAATTCCAACAGCAGATCTTCAAATATCGGATCAGTCAAAAATAATAGATTGGGCACTAGTAAATCGTACACAGTCCTCACCTAGCAAGAACAATATTTCAGCTCACAAAACTCAGTCCACTACAGCAAAAAATGTTACTGTTTCTAACTCGTATGAGGCTTTGATGAATGAACAAGTTCTGGAAGATGTTTGGAAGGACGGGCAGCAAGGTCAGCATGAGTCAAATATAAAATCGAGGCACTCTAAAGCCACTAAAAAAGAGCAGCAAACCGTACAACCATCACTGCATGTCATACAATCACCACTGCCACTAGTAGTAGTAACAATTGCAGTAGCCATTGAAACAACAGGGGAATAGGCTAATTCAACCGCAAATCTAGAGGGATCAACAATTGCTAAAGGTGGAACTTGGTAGGATGTCGTAGTCACACTCCCCCCACCCCAACTTGAACTACCCCTACGTACCACAGCCCCCACCACCGCCAGAAGAGCTCCGTTTACGATGATTAAAAAAAGAACAAGAAACTGAACAATAATAAAAGAAAAATTTATGCATAATTGCTTTTTGAAGCATAAGAAATTAGAGAAGAAATAGTTCAAATCCTAATCTAGCATAGAAGAAATTAAGATACTCATACCCAATTAAGTACTTACAACCACAGAAATTGATAATTCAATAATTTAGTGGAGAAGCAATCGGTAAAGAAATTGAAGATGGAGTTCTTACCGGTTCTTCTCCGATCAGCAGCAACAGGACACAACAAGGAGCCAGCAGAAGAATGGCTCTTTCAAGTAGAACTGATAAGAAAAAGCCTAGCAAGAATGGTTATTAGAGATTGGGCTAAAAGTCCGGGAAAATTTATTTTAGGCGAAATATTTTGGCGCTTTTAATTTTGGCGGAACATTGAAAATTTTTCGACCACGACAACCCATGCATCTCATTGGCAATTTCATGACTATTCCCAACAAAACACTTTCTTGTTGCCAATTCTCTTTATACTTTAATTTTATTACGTTAAAAATTCTATTTTTGGTAACAACTAAAATTAGTTGTTTCCATTTATTAAAATTCGGCAACAACCCAATGGTTGTTGCTAGAACATTGTTGCCATCTTTAAAATTTAAAGTTCATTATCTAAATCATAGAATATGGCAACAAAATTAATATGTTTCCCAACAAGATAATTTTGTTGCCCAAAAATCTATGCTATAGCAACAATTTTATTAAGTTGTTGCCATTTATCTATTTTAGCCAACAATATTTCATTTGTTGCAAAAAGGTTGTTGCAAATTTTATACTTTTTTGTAGTGAACACGGGACTGCGGATGCCAAGCAGCTACCTCGTGGACTCCGAAGTCTGGCGGGAGCTCTCACTCGCGCTAGCAGGATCAGCAACGCCTAAATCTGCACACGGGGTGCAGGGAGTAAAATGAGTACTCCAACTCAGTGAGGAATAATCATAAATAAAGACTAAAAGCAAGAAATCACGTAAGGCACATTACATGCTATAGTGACGTAGTACAGATATGTAGAAAATCATTTCATTTCAGTTTAAACTTCACAAAAGCCCTTTTAACAATTAAGCAAGAAAAAGACAGACAAACAAGATAAACACATAAAAGATCGCCCCTCGAGCACAATGTCAACAAATCCGTCCCTCGGGCAACATCTCAGAAACAATACCAGCCCTCGGGCTATAACTCACATCACATGGGTACCCGCGCTCACTGGGGTGTGCAGACTCCTAGAGGGGCCCCTTACGCCCCAAGTGCAATATCAAGCCATCTTGTGGCATCATCACTAGGCTCTCAGCCTCATATCAACAAGCCACCTCGTGGCGTACATATCTCAGGCCCTCGGCCTCATAATCATAATCAAATGTTTCCTCATAACATAGGCCCTCCACCTTACTCAGTCAAAATAATTCTCACAAGCCACTCGGACAATAGTAAAACATGGTTCTCCGCCCAAAATATCGTTTAAAGATCATTTAAGTGTTAAAACAGAGTAAACATGGCTGAGTTATGAAAACAGTGTAATATAGCATGACTGAGTTCAAGTATAAAGTCAAAACAGTGAGAAAATATCAATAAAAATTCCCTAAGGGTTCAAATAGTTGGCACGAGGCCCAAATATGGCGTTCAACCCAAAACATGATGATAGCAAACAGTTTCAGTCAAACACGCGGTAAAGCAATCATTCGGGATGGACTAAGTCATATTCCCCACACGATCCCATGCTCGTCATCTAGCGTGTGCGTCACCTTAATATAGCACAACGATGTGCAATCCGGGGTTTCATACCCTCAGGACAACATTTACAATAATTACTCACCTCAATCCGAGCAAAATCCTACTCCGAAATGCCTTTGCTCCTTGAATCGGCCTCCAATCGACCCGAATCTAGCCACAGTTAATTCATATCAGTCAATACTAATTATAGGAATTAATTCCATATGAAAATACTAATTTTCTATCAAAATCCGAAATTTAACTCAAAATCGCCCGTGGGGACCACGTCTCGAAATCCGACGAAACTCACAAAATCCGACAACCCATTCAACCACGAGTCTATCCATACCAAAATTACTAAATTTCGATAACATCTCGACCCTCAAATCCTCAAATATATCTAAGAGGGATTTCAAACTTTTCCAACTTAAAATCACCAATTAAATGTTAAAAACAACGATGGATTCGAGTAATCTATCAAAAATTGTGTTAAGAACACTTACCCCGTTGTTTTCTCTGAAAATCCCTCGAAAAATTGCCCCACCCGAGCTTCCTTGGTCCAAAAATGGAAGAATGGGACGAATTTGGACTTTATTCTGCTGCCCAGGGGTTTGTTCTTCGCGTTCGCGACCCTTCTCTCGCGTTCGCGTTGAGCAAATTCCTCATCAGCGACTTCCAAATTCATTCCAGATAGCCTTTAGTATAATTGACATAACGTTTTGCACACAACTCCAAATGATAAATGGTTTGATGTTCTGAAACCTAGACACCAAGGGCTATAATTTCATAGGTTGATCATTTCCTGAATCATTCTATATTGCAAGATATAAGCTTCCAAAGTCAGCCCTATGCAGCAGAGATTTTCAAGCTCTCCCCGGACAGCCTGTAGTGTAACTATCATAACTTTTTGTACACAAATCCAAATACCAGTTAATTTACATTTCTGAAAACTAGACACAAAGGGCTACAACTTTCATGTTTGGATCATCTCCAAATTCCTTATAGATTGTGAGATATGAGCCTCCGAAGTCATACCTGAGCAACCGAGATTTCCTTTGCGAACGCGAAGAACAAACTTCCAGAGGCCAAATTCTTCTTCGCGAACGCGAGAGGCTCCACGCGAACGCGAAGAACAACACCAGATATCAGAAAATCAGCATCCAAAGTAGCCCAAAATGATCCGAAACACACCCGAAACTCACCTGAGGCCCTCGGGACCTCAACCAACCACGCCAAAACAACTTGTTCCAGCCTTAGGAACGCTCAAAACAACATCAAAACACCAAATTCACGTCGGATTCAAGCCTAAGAACTCCAAAAACTTCCAAATTCCATTTTCGACCAAATAGTCTGTCAAACCTCGTCCGAATGACCTGAAATTTTACACACATGTCAAAAATAACACAACGGACCTACTCCAACTTTCGGAATTCCATTCCACCCCCTATATCAAAATCTTACCTATCAACCGGAAATTGCCAAAATTCTAATTTCGCCAATTCAAGCCTAAATCTACTCCGGACCTCCAAAACACATTCCAATCACGCTCCTAAGTCCCAAATCACCTAATGGAGCTAACCAAATCATAAAAATTCCAATCCGAGATCATATACTAACAAGTCAAAACTTGGTCAACCTTTCAAATTTTAAGCTTCAAACTGAGAACTATTCTTCCAAATTTATTCTGATTATCCTACAAACCAAAACCGACGATTTACATAAGTTATAATACATCACATGGGGCTAGTCATGCCCGAGAACTGGCGAGCGAAGTGCAAAAGCTCAAAACGACCGGTCTGATCGTTACATCCTCCCCACTTAAACATACGTTCGTCCTTGAACGTGCCCATAGTCGTTCCAAAAGCCAACAAGTCGCTGTATAACCTTACCATGCAGATACCCGGGGGTGATCCCTCGTCACCCTATCTCATATAGGTCCGATAACACAATGTAATTGAAATTTCACAATCCAACCTAGCCCATAAACCTTAGAACCACATTTCCACTTATGAAATCATCTACAAGATCAGAATCTCACGTCTATACTCTCAATAGGACCGAACAAGTTGTAACAAATCATACCTGCAACCTCAGATGCAATTATGTGATATACCACATAGCTCAAACTCTCGTGGCGATAACTTCTGATCACAACAGTTGTTTAGAACAACCGAATATCGATAATAAACCTCTTATCAAATAAAGCCTCATTCCAACACTTCCGTATACTGCCAATGATAATGAAACACATAGAAAGTCGTAACCATTCCTCAGATCAACCATTCGTGAAGTCACTTCCCCTTTGTCAAGGACCATAGCAAATTTCTGAGCCGAACATCGATATTATCCTTCCAACACGCTGAAACCGAATCTGTTTGTATTCATTCTAGATCCAATGGCCTCATCTCATCCAATCACGACCACTCTAGTGACATGACACATCGATACAATCTAAAGCCACAACCCATGCAACCCGTGCACCAATAAGCAACAATCGAAATGTACTCCAATCATGGAAAGTGAATCAAATGAGAGAGCTGTACCGCAAGCTTACCAGTACCACCACAACACATTGTTGAGAACCCATCACAAATCATAGAACCAGAACACATGAATCTAACCCGAAGGATTATAGCTCAATATAACTTTGCCGTAATGCGCGACCCTATCCAAACACTGGTTCACATGAGACACTCCAAGTCACCATGCTCAAAATCATCAACCAATCGCAATTTGATGTCTAGTATCACAAGTGAATCACCATAACCACGGAGAAGTAAATAATACAATGCCATACTAGTCCGAGAGAATATACCCAATGCGCAATAAATCATGCAACTCCCAAATACCCGTCTCATTCAAATCCCGCTATAAAGCCCAAATGAAACCACACCATATGTGAATATAACCACCAAGTCACAACTCCTCGTAACATAGGAGAGTAACTCATAGATCACTCTAGAACACGAATAAGCTCAACAACAATCGAATGTCACATCTCTCAACAATAGCGGTTCGGAGTCAACAAATCCGACCAAGTGCAGAACACACATCCATGTTGCCAATGAACCCCAAATCAACCTGGTCACCCACAATAGATAATTAGCTCTTTGAAGGTTCACAATGACTGAATCATAGCACATACTACCCTCTGACCAACCGTAGCTATTTTCTCACAGTCCACAACCACAAAGCCATCTAATCCCGGAAACTCTCAGTCTCCCAATCCATAAAGCACACGAATCACCATATCCGATCCCAGCTACACTGCCCGAACATCTAACAAACATCCGATACTCGAACATTCCACGAGGGATATTTCTATAATTCTTCTGTGCTACCAAGCCAACTTGAATATCAACAGTCGATCCAATAAGAGAGTGCCACAATACTAATGAAGTATACTTAATTCAAACACATTGTCCTTTTCATGAAGTGTATACCCTTATCAAGACACACCATTTAGTAATATCATTTACCTAGTCATCTGTAACCGCCCGTGCTTCCTAAGAATTTATGACCTTCTTTTCATAACTGAACTGTGACCTTACACATGCCAATCTCAATCCTTCACAACACACCGTACATACTATAACATCCTATGACAAATGTGAGAACTTCATAATCCACTCCAAATCACAAGCGACTATGTACTCAACTAGCCAAGAACATTCCATTTGATCCGATCTAGAAGAAAATCACTATACATCACATACTCCTCACGCCAGTAGAAAATATACATCTCTAACCGTGGTAGAAACCATCAAGAACTTTCCGAATTCCATTTGCACAAGACCAAACCGTCAGGACAGAATCTTTTTCTAACTCAACCAAGCTACGCAAGCCATCAAAACCTAAGAGCATTGCCACAAAACACCTGTAGAACCCACTGCATCGTAAGCACCCAAGAACCTATCATATCCATTACCATGCCGATCCAACCTACTACCAAGTTGTCCTAATTCTCCGAGTTCCATTCCGAATTACCTTCAAATTTATATGTTTCCTTGCTAGTACACCATTATCCTTAACTAAAACTTGCCCTACAAACTTTAACGTAAAACCACAACGTCTAAGGCTTATAAGCCGCTGAATACTCTCTTAAATATCCCCAGAAGTACCACATTCCAAATGCCCGCTCTGAAAGTACCTTAAAATCAATCTGTTGACATCCAATTTTGTCTCTCCTTTCTTTCAAACTATTTCTTTAAGCTTCTAATATCACTAATAATGTAACAATATTTACTTTACCATTTTTTAGCACAAACTAGACATATTATTATTATTTACTTAATATCACTATTACTATTATTATTAATGTTATTATTATTATTATTATTACTATTATTAATGCTATCGCTATCGTCTTTATCATTCATACCTTAATCGTATTTATTGTTACCTTTCACAAAAAAGTATTTTTACTTCTTTTATCACACTAAGCGAGAACACTTTTTACAATAACCTTTAAATATTACAAAATTTTATATTTAATAAATCTTGCCGTATATTACGATTAATATTTTATTTGAACGTTAGTAATTATTATTAGGTATAATAAATAAGTTAATTACTTGCTTATTTTTAACATTAAAATTATTGTTGATTATTAGAAGCCTAAAGAAATTAAAAGAAGAAGGGGAAACTCGGCCTAGTTAGTAGCCCAATATTTTTTCTACTAATTCTACCGGCCCAAACAGTAATCCACAAGACAGCCTAAATAATTTCTTAAATCAGCCCAAAAAGTATTTGCCCAAATTGTATTATTCTCTTCTAGATTCTTCCACCAGAAATATCCCTCTTTTGGATTCCAAAAATCCAATTTAATTGTTATCGAATTTTTTCCTCAAATCCAACGCCTGTGGTACCTCAACCCCCTCGTTTACCACAATTAACAGTACGCTCTCACTCTCTCCCCTCTTTCTATGGCAGAGTCTTTGCCTATTTCCATGACCATTTTTGGCTAACAATTCAACTATTCTTCAGCCATGGCAGAGTATTGTCATACCATATTCAGGTAAAATCTCTGTCTCTCTTGCTTTATCTTTTCAAGATCCATGCCATTCTCTGATCTCCTTCGATTTGGTCAACATAAAAGACCAAAATTACTTTTGAAATCTCTATGGGAGAATCACCAAGGCAGAAATTCAATCTCAAACGGCTACTTTTCAAAATCAAATCTAAAAATTCCCGCTCAAGAAGCCCTAGATATAATCTGCTGTTATAAATACCTGCATTTGGCCTTAATTTCGGACCAGCTGATGGTCGCCGCTACTCCCCTCCAAACTTTCAAAATATCTTTTACTTTATACATATCCTCCATAAATATAAGCTTTAAATCGTGTTTCATTGCTCATCTTCTCCCCTCTCAGATCTTTGTTGGCCTTCAGCCGTGACAAAGATTTCTGTCGGTCTGTTTGTGTCGCTTGGGTGGTGAAGGAGGTTTGAAGCGGAGATTCGAGTAGTCGTTGGCAAACGCCCCAGTTTACTGCCCACAAGAAGGTCAGTGATATTTTACTATGTCCTTTCGATTTCGCTAGCTCCTAAAATATGTTTCCGATTTAGTAGTTATTTTTGCTAGTTCATCAGATGTTTGTTTCTGGCTTGCTTCTTTGCTTTAGGTGGTAATAAAATGCATTTTCTCTATATGTTCTTCCGTTAGTCCACCATGACGTGTATACAAAATAATTAATATGTAGTTTAGGACTCGTTTATTATTTGTGTCCGTAGCTATCATTTACCGGTAAAGACCATGCTTCTAGGAGTAATATTATTTAAAGATCATGTTTAGATATTTCATTCTTGTTTCTGTTTTTGTAACATTTTTTGGAAGACCATGTCTTATAAGAATTAATCAGTTGCTACTTAGTTTTTAAAAGACTTTGAGTTGTAGTAGAAATCACGTCCTTTCGTTTTTTTTTAGTTTGCCAAAAGAGATGTATTAGGCTTTTGTCATCATCTAAAGATAATATCATTTGTTAACTTCATGATTTAGAACCATGATAATAGGGGAAAGTTAGCGCTTTAATGGTCCCAAAATATGACTAGTGAATGTTCGACAAAATGCTTTTAAGAATGAAACTTTTTTTTGCTAGTCAAAGATTAGTCATGTTCCATCATATTTGTACTTTTATACCTATCATATATAGATGATGACCATGAAAATATGCTAGCCATTAAGATTATTGATCTGATGCAAGGATTAATTTTTTTATTATAACAACTAGTTCCCTTTGTTCATATATTAGTAGCAAATATGATTTTTGGACCTTTGGTTTTAGACGTTTTGCCCATATGATTCTGAACACTTTGTTTGAGATAGATTTAGCTAAAAGTGAACTGTTAAGTAAATATCTAATTCATTTCGTGTCTTTCACATTTAGACAGCATGCCCATAAGACTCTAATGAAGAATAAATGATGTGTTTATATCTAGCATGTTAACCCATAGGTTTTAAAAAAACTACTCTCATGGTTATGAAAAGGAAGTAGAAATATATATATGGGGTTAGTAAGGGACATATGAGGTTCTTTTGCAGGTTCTTTTTGTAGTAATGTAAAATTTCTGCAAGTTAAGAACTGTGAATTGATGTGTTTCTTTAATTTGGTGCGTTTTAATTGTCCTTACATAAGTATATGGCTTCTTTACTAATCTTCTTATTTCCCTTTCTTTACATGTACACTTTGGAGCAAATGGAGTCTTAATTCGAGACTCCCGCAAACTCTCGCAGTGGGGTCTCATAGAGACACCACCACATGGAGTCATTGCATACCATCTTCCTTAGCGAGAAAAACAAGCGAAACGCTTGGGGATGCCTATAGCGTCTTTAATTTCTTTTCCTTATCACTCGTGCTATTTGAAATTTACTTGTGTGATTTAAGTTTATCTCCAATTTCTAGGATCATATGTTAAAATTCGTGTTAGCATAGTATGTTTACTCTTATTGTCGATTTGGTACTATCTTAATCATACAAAATGTAGCCTTTAGATATGGGAACTTAGAAACGTTTTTTTTCTTAAAATGATCCTTCTAAAAACTTTCCGGTCAAAACCTTCTCTAATGGCGATAATAAACACAAGATGATTAGTTCCAGCTAATTTTTTTTTATTTATTTCTAAAGAACACATGTTAAAACTGTATTTCTTTCCTTTAACAATATTCTAACGTAGTAAATTTTTCTTTCAAAAGCATTCTGTTTTAGAAATGTCTTAAATTGTTGGTTTCATCAAATCAAAACTAACTTCTTACACCCATTATATCCTTAATCCGTTTAAACATTTTACTTAAAGTATAAGTAGCTAAATCTTATTTAGTTTGTGGCATTTACACAAATTGCCGATTTTATTATTCATCAATTTTAAGATCTTTTCAAAATCAACCATTTGAATTTAAGTTCAATTCTGTCGATGGCCAGTTTAATTTTGCCAATAAGAAACTATTCCCTTTTACAAAGTTCAAGGGAAACTATTTCCTTAACATTTTTCAGCAATATTTGGCCATAAGAAACTATTCCCTTTTACAAAGTTTAAGTTCAATTCATCTTAAAAATGGTCGTTGGAGCGTTCTTCTGGGCATATGTCCAACTAAAGGTTATACTTAGCTCGTGACATTTTAGTATATGGAATATATTATCACGTGTTATTTTCCAACTATGTATAAAAAAATATTAAATTATGCAATTATATTGTCGCACTAGATTAATTAACCTAAGTTTGATCGATTAGTCGTAATTAACGGGTCATATAGGGTGCCTTAATAACCTTCCCTATAGGATTAATTAGAACCCTTATCTAAAATTTCTAAGGTTAAGCAGACCGTAAAAATAGAGTTAACTTTAAGCACTACTTAGTTAAAATTGGTGTCCTAATTCACTATTAAAATAATTAGGTGGCGACTCTCTTTAATTAATTAAACTTCTAGAATTACCAATATGTTATACTCTAGTTTGACCCGTGTTAAAATGGGGTATAACACAATCTTTTACCTCCTTTATACTGGAGTACAGAATCCATAGTCATACAAAATTACTGCAAGTCTCAGTACCATCCAATGTAATTGATTGATTCTAGTGGCATACAGATCCGAAAAATTTTCAATTGCTACATATACATTTCTAAGTCCATAAGAATTCTTTCAAGAGCCATCTACTCTGCTCAAATCTAAATTGCACTGCCCAAATAAGCCAAATGACACATGTCCCATTAGCACAACAATACTCAAGGGAGTAACCCCACCTTAATGCAACCATATAAGTTCCTGCTCCATGTACACTACATCCTTCACCAATAACAACTCAAGTCATTGCGTGATTCTCATACGCCCATAAAGCATAACATAACCTTTATTGAAATTTCCTTTACTCGAGCCATCCTCGGTCTCAACCTCCGTAAGCCATAACTGATTCACTCGTACGCCTCAAACTGGAACCAACATAGCATATAACCGTACAATCAACTAATCAATAGCAGACTCCCCCACTTGGCTCAAATCCATAGATCGAAACACACAATAACTCATAATGCATATACTCTATTACTGCCATAATACCATAGTAAGATTAAACTCAATCCTTTATAATCTCGTGAAACACAAACCATCTAGTACTTTAAATCTTCTGCAAATCTCGCATTCACCCTCGTAACAGTCAAGCCCACTCTCTTAGACGACCCAAATTCAAATTGCAACACATATATTTCACTAGTAACAGAGATCTTCCAATAAACGACATAAAGGATCACGCAAACATCAGAACACTCCGCAGGAGATAACCCACATGTTTCACCTCAAACTAACATCTCTTTATACCCTTCCACCATCATAAATATTACGCAGTCATTTAATCTTCCTGAGTCTGAACTCATATCACAACGTGAAATCTACTTCACTTCCCAACTAGGCAACATGAAAAGGTCCTTCAACATGCCCACAACTCGGGTTGCACATCAAATCACGATGGGAATCAAGCACCGGATAGTTCTTACTACCCCCAAGCAGACCCTTCTTGTCTCGTTCAATTCATATGAACACACCTCGTAGTCACATCACACTCATCACGTAACTATCCAGTCATCACTTCCCTTAATAGGGACACTATCGAACATATAAATCCAGAAACACGCGCTCGCGTAATCAATAGCTCAGGGCTCAAGCTACAGGCAAGGCTCGGCCTCAAGTCCTCCAGACAGGCCCAACACCAACACACATAAATCACCTCTCGTCCTCCGGTCAAGGAATCACAATCCGTCAGTGCACAACTGATACCGAGCGCTCATGCGCGCATACGAAAGCGTGGAAGGAATTTCGAGAGTTATATTTCAAGATGAATCAAGGATGCACGATAAGAATTCAAGAATGTGGGATTTCCTAAAGGTTCTGCAGCCTCCCGAGAATAAGTACAGACGTTTCAGTACCGATCTGCAAGACTCTACTAAACTTGCTCATGACTCGTGAGACCTATGTAACCTAGGCTCTGATACCAACTTGTCACGATCCTAAACCCGGACCCGGTCGTGATGGCGCCTCTCGTGAAGACAAGGCCAACCGACACTTACCCATTTCAGTTTTAAGCAGTTAACAATGAGGATTAAGTCTAAAACATGATAAATAATCCAACATTTAAGCAGTCAACAGTACAAATATGCGGAAGAACAACCCAACACAACCCGAAACCGGGGTGTCACTAATCATGAGCATCTATCAATCCTAACACAAGTCTGAAAAGTCTATAACCTATTACAAATGTCTGATAAAGAGGTGGAAATGAGATAAAGGGGGAGAAACACGGGACTGCGGACGCCAAGCAGCTACCTCGTGGACTCCGAAGTCTGGCGGGAGCTCTCAACTCGCGCTAGCAGGATCAACAACACCTGAATCTGCACACGGGGTGCAGGCAGTAAAGTGAGTACTCCAACTCAGTGAGTAATAATCATAAATAAAGACTGAAAGCAAGAAATCACGTAAGGCACATTATAGGCTATAGTGACGCAGTACAGATATGTAGAAAATCATTTCAGTTCAGTTTAAACTTCATAAAAGCCTTTTTAACAATTAAGCAAGCAAAAGACAGGCAAACAAGAAAGATAAACACATAAAAGATTGCCCCTCGAGCACAGTGTCAACAAATTCGCCCCTCGGGCAACATCTCAGAAACAATACCAGCCCCTCGGGCTATAACTCAGATCACTATGGGTACCCGCGCTCACTGGGGGTGTGTAGACTTCTAGAGGGGCCCCTTACGGCCCAAGCTCAATATCAAGCCATCTCGTGGCATCATCCCTAGGCTCTCGGCCTCATATCAACAAGCCACCTCGTGGCGTACATATCTCAGGCCCTCGGCCTCATAATCATAATCAAATATTTCCTCACAACGTAGGCCCTCGACCTTACTCAGACAAAATAATCCTCACAAGCCACTCAGGCAATAGTAAAACATGGTTCTCAGCCCAAAATATCGTTTAAATATCATTTAAGTGTTAAAACAGAGTAAACATGGCTAAGTTATGAAAACAGTGTAATATAGCATGACTGAGTTCAAGTATAAAGTCAAAACAGTGAGGAAATATTAATAGAAGTCCCCTAAGGGTTCAAATAGTTGGCACGAGGCCCAAATATGGTGTTCAGCCCAAAACATGATGATAGCAAACAATTTTCAGTCAAACGCGCGGTAAAGCAATGATTCGAGATGGACTAAGTCACAATCCCCAACAGTGCACGACTCCACGCTCATTATCTAGCGTGTGCATCACCTCAATATAGCACAACGATATGCAATCCGGGGTTTCATACCCTCAGGACAACATTTACAATAATTACTCACCTCAATCCGAGCAAAATCCTACTCCGAAATGCCTTTGCCCCTTGAATCGGCCTCCAATCGACCCGAATCTACCCACAGTTAATTCAATTTAGTCAATACTAATTATAGGAATTAATTCCATATGAAAATACTAATTTTCTATCAAAATCCGAAATTTAACTCAAAATTGCCCGTGGGGCCCACGTCTCGAAATCCGATGAAACCTACCCACAGTTAATTCAATTTAGTCAATACTAATTATAGGAATTAATTCCATATGAAAATACTAATTTTCTATCAAAATCCGAAATTTAACTCAAAATTGCCCGTGGGGCCCACGTCTCGAAATCCGATGAAACTCACAAAATCCGACAACCCATTCAACCACGATCTAACCATACCAAAATTACTAAATTTCGATAACATCTCGACCCTAAAATCCTCAAATATATCCAAGAGGGTTTCCAAACTTTTCCAACTTAAAATCACCAATTAAATGTTAAAAACAACGATGGATTCGAGTAATCTATCAAAAATTGTGTTAAGAACACTTACCCCGTTGTTTTCTCTAAAAATTCCTCGAAAAATCGCCCCACCTGAGCTTCCTTGGTCCAAAAATGGAAGAATGGGACGAATTTGGACTTTATTCTGCTGCCCAGGGGTTTGTTCATCGCGTTCGCGACCCTTCTCGCGTTCGCGTTGAGCAAATTCCTCATCAACGATTTCCAAATTCATTCCAGATAGCCTTTAGTATAATTGACATAACTTTTTGCACACAACTCCAAATGATAAATGGTTTGATGTTCTGAAAACTAGACACCAAGGGCTATAATTTCATAGGTTGATGATTTCCTGAGTCATAAAAATATTGCGAGATATAAGCTTTTAAAGTCAGCCCTATGCAGCAAAGATTTTCAAACTCTCCCTGGACATCCTGTAGTGTAACTACCATAACTTTTTGTACATAAATCGAAATGCCAATTAATTTACCTTTCTGAAAACTAGACTCAAAGGAATACAACTTTCATGTTTGGATCATCTCCAAATTCCTTATAGATTGTGAGATATGAGCCTCCGAAGTCAGACCTGAGCAACCAAGATTTCCTTCTTCGCGAACGCGAAGAACAAACTTCCAGAGGCCATATCAGAAAATCAGCATCCAAAGTAGCC